ACATATTCTGAATCGAATACACTAAATTACACATTAAACAAAATACTTGGAACAAAGCAAACATTTAACTTTTGCTAGAATGAAAGTGAGTGAGTATGGTTATATGCTACTTTTAGCAACATTCCAGCAAATAGTGAGTGAGTTTAGTTTTACCCTGCTTTTAGCAACATTCCAGCAAATAGTGAGTGAGTTTAGTTTTACCCTGCTTGTAGCAATATTCCAGCAAATAGTGAGTGAGTTTAGTTTTACCCTGCTTGTAGCAATATTCCAGCAATAACACAGCTAGGTACACCACAAGTGGACTTCACACATGCTCAGCATGAATCACTAAGCTACCACACTGGCCCACTAGAAAGACAGCATATGCAGCTCTGATTAGTAATTCTATACCAGCATTGCAGAAGGCCATAGCAAAGGCAAGGTCAAGAGAGAAATGAAGGCTTCAAGCTTGTGACATTGGCCAGCATACTACCAATGCGTGGTTGTATTAATGTAAAACAAGCAAGTGATGTACACCCATAACACAGACCAGCGCTGCACACCATCAGTTTATTCAAACATCATCTTGCATCATTGAACACAATACATGCACAAAAATGTTGTAAAGAAAATAAAGGATAAAACAACATAGTTTTTTGTTATATTGCTACAAGAATAAACAATCTTATCAGGTCAGAAAGTACAAGGTGGACGAGAAACACAACTCAACAACATCATCTAACAAACTAGACTGCAGACAACTGAGATGGTATTGAGACTGTGATGGCTGTATTATCGCTGAAGGGGTCGTTGTCGGCACAGGTACTACAGATATGTACCCCAGGTACATTTCTGTATACAGACATGTACCCTAAACAAAGACAAACTACAGAAACGTACCCGGTACCCTAAACAATGGACGAGTCCACATTCCGCAACCCAAAACCGAAAGCGTATGTAGTTGTTCCCGTTCAGCTCATTGCGAGTTGTGTACGTTGTGCACCGTCAAATATTTGTTACTGTGTATGCTCTTATATAACGATATCAAATGCATCTAATACAACAGTATGACCGTTTCGATGAAGAAAACTCCACAAAACAGAATGGAATCGTCCAAGGGTACGTTTCTGTATTCTGATTTTGGCTAGGGTACATTTCTGTATACAGAAAAGTACCTGGGGTACACATCTGTATTACCCATGCCGACAACGACCCCTTCAGCTGTATTATCTAATGAAACATCAGATCTTATTCCCTTTATTACAGAAAATGTGTGTAAAATACATCCCTGCATGAAGATGATATGTGAACATGATATGTAGACATGACCACATGTACCAGGGAAGCTGAGCTCTAACTACAGGAGCACCAACACACAGTCATCCTCATCACAAAACACATCTTCAACAAATGTAGTTTGCAAATGATTTGAGGATTCATATTAATATACATTCTACTACAAGAGCAAATATGGACATATCCTAGAAGACTACTTAATGCAACCTTCCCAAGTTGATATGTTGGCAGTCTTGGTCCAGCAGCTGGTTTCCCATTAAATAGTATTACTAACACACCAGACAATTAAAAAATAAACTATGAAATACAAAAGAACAGAAACACATTAAAAATATCAAACATATTTGTGAGTATATACACTTTTAGTCACATCAACAAGGAAGGATTGGGCAATGCAGCTGAGCTGTAACTGTTTACCAAACATTGTATATTTACTTGTTAATGTGGAGAGTATAAGTTATATTGAAATGTATGAGTAGAAATAACCATGCCCGATCAACTCTATCACAGATCCACATTGTAAACAGATACTCTATGTATTTCCAAGACAAAACCGTGCCCAATCAACTCTATCACAGATCCACATTGTAACAGATACTCGATGTACATCCAAGACAAAACCTTCCCCAAACTCGATCACCTCAGCTATGGGTTTCTGTACCACTTTATTCCTTTACATCTGGAGATAAGAGATGTTGGGGCCAAATTAAGAAGTTGGTAGCAATTAATAGTTTTCTTTGACGTGCCTAAATATTGAACAAGTATAGTATCTACTGTTTGATGTAGGCACAGTATACATATTTTACCAGAATGTATTTTACAAAGCATTTGGGAAGAATTGTATACAAGGTTTCAGGTGTATATTTTCATTACCTTGGCTAAACGTATCACAGCAAATATCACATCGGGCGACACAAATCTGTGGGGTAGTGAAATGACTTGAAGAAACATGTTGAGATCAGATGTGACAAAACAAACCTGTACGTTCTACCTCCCCTGAGGTGGGACACACTGTGACCTGGTCAGCTCTACCTCCCCTGAGGTGGGACACACTGTGACCTGGTCAGCTCTACCTCCCCTGAGGTGGGTCACACTGTGACCTGGTCAGCTCTACCTCCCCTGAGGTGGGACACACTGTGACCTGGTCAGCTCTACCTCCCCTGAGGTGGGTCACACTGTGACCTGGTCAGCTCTACCTCCCCTGAGGTGGGTCACACTGTGACCTGGTCAGCTCTACCTCCCCTGAGGTGGGACACACTGTGACCTGGTCAGCTCTACCTCCCCTGAGGTGGGTCACACTGTGACCTGGTCAGCTCTACCTCCCCTGAGGCCGGGACACACTGTGACCTGGTCGGCTCTACCTCCCTGAGGTGGGACACACTGTGACCTGGTCAGCTCTACCTCCCCTGAGGTGGGACACACTGTGACCTGGTCAGCTCTACCTCCCCTGAGGTGGGACACACTGTGACCTGGTCAGCTCTACCTCCCCTGAGGTGGGACACACTGTGACCTGGTCAGCTCTACCTCCCCTGAGGTGGGACACACTGTGACCTGGTCAGCTCTACCTCCCCTGAGGTGGGTCACACTGTGACCTGGTCAGCTCTACCTCCCCCCTGAGGTGGGTCACACTGTGACCTGGTCAGCTCTACCTCCTCTGAGGTGGGACACACTGTGACCTGGTCAGCTCTACCTCCCCTGAGGTGGGTCACACTGTGGCCTGGTCAGCTCTACCTCCCCTGAGGTGGGACACACTGTGACCTGGTCAGCTCTACCTCCCCTGAGGTGGGTCACACTGTGACCTGGTCAGCTCTACCTCCCCTGAGGTGGGACACACTGTGACCTGGTCAGCTCTACCTCCCCTGAGGTGGGTCACACTGTGGCCTGGTCAGCTCTACCTCCCCTGAGGTGGGTCACACTGTGACCTGGTCAGCTCTACCTCCCTCCCTGAGGTGGGACACACTGTGACCTGGTCAGCTCTACCTCCCCTGAGGTGGGACACACTGTGACCTGGTCAGCTCTACCTCCCCTGAGGTGGGACACACTGTGACCTGGTCAGCTCTACCTCCCCTGAGGTGGGTCACACTGTGACCTGGTCAGCTCTACCTCCCCTGAGGTGGGTCACACTGTGACCTGGTCAGTCCACCAGGTTCAAGTCACAGAGGTTGTCTTGTGTTTGTCACCAGTTTTAAGTGGACTTTCCGGATTTGTCCACTTTCTTGTTTAATGTATGCTGTGTTTAAAGGGACACAACTATGTCTGTCTTAGTAAATATATGTTATGCGCCAATCAGGATTTTTTCTATGCAGCAAATACAAGTGTTAAAACACACCTACACAAAAATCTCAAAAGAGACTCTGGGGAAGGTCTTAACATTGAAAATATTTTGCAGTTGTTTTAAAAGAAATAAGATTTGAATCATTAATCACCCAGGTCCACAGACAAATGTGAATATAATAATAATGTTTCAACAATGTCACTAATGAATGTCGCCAATTGGGCTCAGGAAACTCACATTTTTCTAGACTGCAGGTATTTTCGGATGATAACCTATGGGCCACAAAAAATCATGGATTAACTGCCCCAACTTAATTCCTCATTGAGAAGTTCCAAAAGTAGTCTAGGACAGATAGTCCACAATTCTTCATAGCTTAGGGATGTGGAAATATACCATAAATATATGTTTGCATAAATAAAAGTCATTGGAAGGATAAATATCAATATACTGCTAAATAAAATACAACACATGTTATTGCACATACCACTTACGTCATATCTAATTTCACAAAAGTCTTACCAGGTCCTTGGAAGTCACTAAGTGCACAACCTTAAAACATTTATAATACCCATTACTCACAACAAACATATTTACATCTTCCTACATGCACATCACTGATGGACAATGGCAACAGGGGCCGTGTATTTCAGTCAACCGATTACATCGACATGGACATACAATCATCCAGCCAATCCCAAATACAACCATGGATATGGTGAATTTTCACCTCAACACAAAGTGGCGTGCATGTAGAAAGACTTCAGTAACCATGGCAGTCCTGCAGTCAGATGCCGGAACTATTCCTAAAACATCATTCAATCACATTAAGTCCACCACTTGGTTGTACTCAGCTCTCTAAACATCACTCAGTGTCAATTTGTTCTTGTAAAGTTTTCTGACAATGATTACACAACAGCTGAACACAATGATCTCTGTTTCTAAACAGTTCCATGATGACTTCCTGACTATAGTCCGAGCTGCTGGAAGTGAGTGTACAAGCAGATAACAACATAGAGACAAGCCAGCACAAGGTCAACAAGGTGTAGTCAGCTGGGAACACCCAGGCAGCTGAGTGATGGCAAACTCAAGTGGAGGAACAGGTGACCATGTGATGTCACCCTCTGGGTGCGAGTGCCTTGGTGTGTGTGTCTTGGTGTGTGTGAGTGTGCATGCATGAGGGAGCAAGTGTGACGCTGTAAGCACAATACATTGGTGTGTGTATGACATTCAGATGTGTTTCAGACTGTGTGACACAATGAATGGAGCAACAATGTAAAGGTGAGTCAAGTGACATTGTGTGACGGTATGTAACTCCTGTCAGTGTTATGATGCCTGTTGCATCAAAGAATAGTGGGGTCTGTACATAGACAGGTATGCTACTTTGTTTCAAATGTTTGTGGCATTGTACAGTAGTTGTCAGCTATATGCCAAGAATGATTCATGTTAGCAGCGTTGTTTATCCTAGTGCTGCCTATGCATTACATTGTTTATGTAACATGGTATGTTTACACATACTTGTCATGCATGTATCGAGTGTGAGACATTGTAATATGAGTGAAAATGATGCACCTTCAATATTCCCTGTCATAGAATACCAGTGGCCTGTTGGGTAAATTCAATCTTGACACTGTTAATTGTCAGCCTATGTTAAAGTATGGAAGAACAGAGTTCAGGCCTTTTGAAGCAACTGCTTTAAAGTCATCATCTGATTTTTCACATGACAGGATTTCATCACAATGGAATGCCCTCTTGTACATTGCAGCAATAAATTACACTTGCAAAATATATTGCATGAACAGTATGGCAAGCACACAGACTTAATACTTTTATACACTGACATGGTGCAAATACTATTGGAAAAAAGTCATCAAATAAAGTTAGGCCTTATTCTTTAAAGGGAGGTACAAAGAACCTTCTGCTGAAAACAGTGTTTACTTAGTATGGAAACAGAAAAACTGATTTTGCTCCAGTGAGCTGTGAGTCCACAGGTGTGTGTGGGCAACAAGGTGGGTGCTGTAAGTGTCCTTCCCGTGGGGAGGCCATGCTGTGAGTGGCATTGCCCAGGACACTGAGTTAAGCAGTGGTATTCAGTAGGCAATTACACTATTGTAACATTCCCAGGCAATATGAACGTGAATAAACACATCCTGTAATTTATCCAATACTTTTGTGTGGCCATAAATTTGTTCTCATATAAACAAGCAGAAAATGGTGTTCATACTTATAGTGTCACTCATGACCTAATGTCGAAGTAGAAGACTTGACATAAAATACACTGACTCCAAAAGGATTGGTTTTATACACTTCATAAAAATCTCATTATACTTTTGCAAGTTACTATTTCTTACAAATATTTTATTCACACTGTTTCCTAACTGAGACAAAATATAATGTAGTGAAAATATATATGTTCTAAACTTTAAACAGATCATATTTTCAAGTTAAAACCAACAACACCCATCTGTCTTGATCCTATTCCTGAATCAAACAATAGGTTTCTGGTTTGCATGGGCTTTCAAGTTCTGCTGTTGTCAAGATGGTCCATGCTGCCTTACACTGACATGCCTCTTCATTTAGGCCCACTTACTTCAGCACTTACATCCTGAAACAGAGCATCACCATATACCCTCATGTAAGACGTACTTCATATAGTACTGGGCACCATTGACCCACACAGTGAAACAGCGAACCAACAGTAGAAGAGATACAAACACTCGGGTTTGGTCCGAACATAATCTTTCTACTTTTCATCTCTCTACCCTTGGTGTCCACCGACTGAACAGTGCTGGCAGACATACTGCAACACTTTAGTGGTGGTCCGATTAATTGAAATAATCGAAGATTGGTCGCAGTGGCCAAACGACCAAGCAATCGATCACATTTTATCATAATTGAACACAAACGATTTTGGAACCGCTGTAATAGAGTTTGAAATACTTGATGATGGAACATATCTAGGACGTTGTCAGGGCCTGAAAATGTGTTTATTTCTAAGAAAACTCACTTCACTTTTTGAAAAGTCATGACTGAATATTTCTTGAAGAATCTGGGAAGTTAATGTTACACTGGAACTGAATCATTTTACACTGGATGTGAAATCTGCAAATGTAATTTGTGCAGTTTCTAAAAACAACAACAGAGAATGAAAAGTTTTTCCTTCTTAAATACCTGCAACTACAACCTGAATAGGAAAATCTAAAAAATGACACTATCCAATTTTTTTTCGATGATTGGTCGTTGGTATTGAACTAATCATCAATTTTGAGATTTCAACCAATTCCCAACACTACAACACTCCAGCTCAGACTTACCGTCATCTCTTTACCCTTGGTCTCCACAGACTGAACAGAGCTGGCAGACTTAACACTCCATCTCAGACTTACCGTCATCTCTCTACCCTTGGTCTCCACAGACTGAACAGTGCTGGCAGACTTAACACTCCATCTCAGACTTACCGTCATCTCTCTACCCTTGGTCTCCACAGACTGAACAGAGCTGGCAGACTTAACACTCCATCTAAGACTTACTGTCATCTCTCTACCCTTGGTCTCCACAGACTGAACAGTGCTGGCAGACATACTGCAACACTCCATCTCAGACTTACTGTCATCTCTCTACCCTTGGTCTCCACAGACTGAACAGTGCTGGCAGACATACTGTAACACTCCATCTCAGACTTACCGTCATCTCTCTACCCTTGGTCTCCACAGACTGAACAGTGCTGGCAGACATACTGTAACACTCCATCTAAGACTTACCATCATCTCTCTACCCTTGGTCTCCACAGACTGAACAGAGCTGGCAGACATACTGTAACACTCCATCTCAGACTTACCGTCATCTCTCTACCCTTGGTCTCCACAGACTGAACAGAGCTGGCAGACATACTGTAACACTCCAGCTAAGACTTACCGTCATCTCTCTACCCTTGGTCTCCACAGACTGAACAGAGCTGGCAGACATACTGTAACACTCCATCTCAGACTTACTGTCATCTCTCTACCCTTGGTCTCCACAGACTGAACAGTGCTGGCAGACATACTGTAACACTCCATCTAAGACTTACCGTCATCTCTCTACCCTTGGTCTCCACAGACTGAACAGAGCTGGCAGACATACTGCAACACTCCATCTAAGACTTACCGTCATCTCTCTACCCTTGGTCTCCACAGACTGAACAGTGCTGGCAGACATACTGCAACACTCCATCTAAGACTTACCGTCATCTCTCTACCCTTGGTCTCCACAGACTGAACAGAGCTGGCAGACATACTGCAACACTCCATCTCAGACTTACTGTCATCTCTACCCTTGGTCTCCACAGACTGAACAGAGCTGGCAGACATACTGCAACACTCCAGCTAAGACTTACCACATCTCTACCCTTGGTCTCCACAGACTGAACAGAGCTGGCAGACTTAACACTCCATCTAAGACTTACAATCATCTCTCTACCCTTGGTCTCCACAGGCTGAACAGTGCTGGCAGACATACTGTAACACTCCATCTCAGACTTACTGTCATCTCTCTACCCTTGGTCTCCACAGACTGAACAGTGCTGGCAGACATACTGTAACACTCCATCTAAGACTTACCGTCATCTCTCTACCCTTGGTCTCCACAGACTGAACAGAGCTGGCAGACATACTGTAACACTCCATCTAAGACTTACTGTCATCTCTCTACCCTTGGTCTCCACAGACTGAACAGTGCTGGCAGACATACTGTAACACTCCATCTAAGACTTACCGTCATCTCTACCCTTGGTCTCCACAGACTGAACAGTGCTGGCAGACATACTGTAACACTCCATCTAAGACTTACCGTCATCTCTACCCTTGGTCTCCACAGACTGAACAGTGCTGGCAGACATACTGTAACACTCCATCTAAGACTTACCGTCATCTCTCTACCCTTGGTCTCCACAGACTGAACAGTGCTGGCAGACATACTGTAACACTCCATCTAAGACTTACCGTCATCTCTCTACCCTTGGTCTCCACAGGCTGAACAGTGCTGGCAGACATACTGTAACACTCCATCTCAGACTTACCGTCATCTCTCGACCCTTGGTCTCCACAGACTGAACAGTGCTGGCAGACATACTGTAACACTCCATCTAAGACTTACCGTCATCTCTCTACCCTTGGTCTCCACAGACTGAACAGTGCTGGCAGACATACTGTAACACTCCATCTAAGACTTACCGTCATCTCTCGACCCTTGGTCTCCACAGACTGAACAGTGCTGGCAGACATACTGTAACACTCCATCTAAGACTTACTGGCCATCTTCTACCCTTGGTCTCCACAGACTGAACAGTGCTGGCAGACATACTGTAACACTCCATCTAAGACTTACCGTCATCTCTCTACCCTTGGTCTCCACAGGCTGAACAGTGCTGGCAGACATACTGTAACACTCCATCTAAGACTTACTGTCATCTCTACCCTTGGTCTCCACAGACTGAACAGTGCTGGCAGACATACTGTAACACTCCATCTAAGACTTACTGTCATCTCTCACCCTTGGTCTCCACAGACTGAACAGAGCTGGCAGACATACTGTAACACTCCATCTAAGACTTACTGTCATCTCTCTCTGCCCTTGGTCTCCACAGACTGAACAGTGCTGGCAGACATACTGTAACACTCCATCTAAGACTTACCGTCATCTCTCTCTACCCTTGGTCTCCACAGACTGAACAGTGCTGGCAGACATACTGTAACACTCCATCTAAGACTTACCATCATCTCTCGACCCTTGGTCTCCACAGACTGAACAGAGCTGGCAGACATACTGTAACACTCCATCTAAGACTTACCGTCATCTCTCTACCCTTGGTCTCCACAGACTGAACAGAGCTGGCAGACATACTGTAACACTCCATCTAAGACTTACCGTCATCTCTCTACCCTTGGTCTCCACAGACTGAACAGAGCTGGCAGACATACTGTAACACTCCATCTAAGACTTACCGTCATCTCTCTACCCTTGGTCTCCACAGACTGAACAGTGCTGGCAGACATACTGTAACACTCCATCTAAGACTTACCGTCATCTCTCTACCCTTGGTCTCCACAGACTGAACAGAGCTGGCAGACATACTGCAACACTCCAGCTAAGACTTACCGTCATCTCTCGACCCTTGGTCTCCACAGACTGAACAGTGCTGGCAGACATACTGTAACACTCCATCTAAGACTTACCGTCATCTCTCTACCCTTGGTCTCCACAGACTGAACAGTGCTGGCAGACATACTGTAACACTCCATCTAAGACTTACCGTCATCTCTCTACCCTTGGTCTCCACAGACTGAACAGTGCTGGCAGACATACTGTAACACTCCATCTAAGACTTACCGTCCATCTCTCTACCCTTGGTCTCCACAGGTACTGAACAGTGCTGGCAGACATACTGTAACACTCCATCTAAGACTTACCACTGTCATCTCTCACCCTTGGTCTCCACAGACTGAACAGTGCTGGCAGACATACTGTAACACTCCATCTAAGACTTACCGCATCTCTCTACCCTTGGTCTCCACAGACTGAACAGAGCTGGCAGACATACTGCAACACTCCATCTCAGACTTACTTATATCTCTCGACCCCTTGGTCTCCACAGACTGAACAATGCTGGCAGACATACTGTAACACTCCATCTAAGACTTACCGTCATCTCTACCCTTGGTCTCCACAGACTGAACAGTGCTGGCAGACATACTGTAACACTCCATCTAAGACTTACCGTCATCTCTCTACCCTTGGTCTCCACAGACTGAACAGTGCTGGCAGACATACTGTAACACTCCATCTAAGACTTACCGTCATCTCTCGACCCTTGTAACCACTCTGAACAGTGCTGGCAGACATAGTAACACTCCATCTAAGACTTACCGTCATCTCTCTACCCTTGGTCTCCACAGACTGAACAGTGCTGGCAGACATACTGCAACACTCCATCTAAGACTTACCGTCATCTCTCTACCCTTGGTCTCCACAGACTGAACAGTGCTGGCAGACATACTGTAACACTCCAGCTAAGACTTACCGTCATCTCTCTACCCTTGGTCTCCACAGACTGAACAGAGCTGGCAGACTTGTAACACTCCATCTAAGACTTACCGTCATCTCTACCCTTGGTCTCCACAGACTGAACAGTGCTGGCAGACATACTGTAACACTCCATCTAAGACTTACCGTCATCTCTACCCTTGGTCTCCACAGACTGAACAGTGCTGGCAGACATACTGTAACACTCCATCTAAGACTTACCATCATCTCTCTACCCTTGGTCTCCACAGACTGAACAGAGCTGGCAGACATACTGTAACACTCCATCTCAGACTTACCGTCATCTCTCTACCCTTGGTCTCCACAGACTGAACAGAGCTGGCAGACATACTGTAACACTCCAGCTAAGACTTACCGTCATCTCTCTACCCTTGGTCTCCACAGACTGAACAGAGCTGGCAGACATACTGTAACACTCCATCTTAGACTTACTGTCATCTCTACCCTTGGTCTCCACAGACTGAACAGTGCTGGCAGACATACTGTAACACTCCATCTAAGACTTACTGGCCATCTCTACCCTTG